CCCCCAGTAGACCCCTGGCCATTTGTGTGCGCACCGAGCCCCCTGCCCTTACCTGTGTCCTGCCGGAACTGGTGCATGGACTGCAGGTCGATGATGTAGGGTGCCAGCTGCACGTCCACCTGGCCCAGCACCACGCTGCCACGGGCATCCTCCTTCAGCACGTTCTCAATGTGGTGGCAGACAGCAGCTGAGTAGGGCCGCCAGCGCCCATGCTCGTTCAGCCACTCCCACACCACCACACGGGCCAGGTTTTGGGGTGGGAACCCCAAAGTCCCAGAGCCCAAAAGGGCCCCCGTGCCCTGCCGTGCCATGGCTGGGGACAGCAGCTCAGCGCCGTGCCATGGCCGAGGGACAGACGGCTCGGTGGCACCCGCGGGGTGGAACGTCCCTGTCCCCGCTGCAGAGCTCAGCAGGGGTGGGAGGTGGCACCCAGAGCCCCGCAGCACCCGGTTCTGCTCCACCGGGGCCACCAGCAGGGCAGGCTGGGGTGAGCCATCACTTGGCACCGGGCACCGGGCTCTGCATGGGTGGTGTTGAGCTGGAGCTGGAGCTGCTGTCCTCCCTGCAGCGCTGGCACATCTCAGTGTCCCCAGGCTCAGCGGGGACAGGACACCCCCACACACTCCCTCCTCTTCTTTCCCCTTCTGTCCCAGCCGATGTCACCGGTTGCTCCAAGGCTCCCTGAGTGTCACCTGCAAAGCAAGGCCACAGCACCACTCAGCCACAGCCGAGGTGGCTCTGAGTGCTGCCACGCAGTGCTGCATCCCTGCCCTCCCTGGTGGCACCTTGGGAACCGTCCCTTTCGCCCCATGTGCCCACAGCCAGACAGCGTGGCGGGCTGCCAGCCTCAGGTGTGACAGCAGGGAAGGGGACAGCAGGGACAAGCAGCGTGGGGGCAATTGTTCTCAAGGCTTGGGGGGGGTTCTCAAAAAACAGATAAGCCCCACAGAAGCCGGCTGTGTGCCCGGGAGCCCGCGGCCCTCCTGCTCATCCGGCACTGATTTATGATCTGCACTGCAGGCATCAGGATGGAGTCAGCCTGGGCGGCGTGCCCCGGGCCCCCCGCACACCCTGGGCAGCTCCTTGCCCACCAACACAGCCTCACGGCCCCCTTGCATGGGATGGGGAGGGTTAGGCTGCACGGACAGACAGCAAGCTACGGACAGACAGACACAGAGCCGTGCGCTGGCACTGGGGACACAAACAGCACGGGGACCTGTGCAGATGGATGGACAGACAGACAGACGCACGTAGGGCCACACAGCAGCGTGACAACAAACAGTCGTAGACACACAGACACAGACACACACACAGACACACAGACACACACACACAGGCGTGTGCATCCGTGCACTCATCCGGCACCCACAGCACCGCAGCAACCAAAGGGGCCCAAACCTCAGGACAAAACCCAGCGCCACCCCCCTCCCCATTCTGCTCCCCCCTTCGGTTCCCCGTCCATCGCACTGCATGCGAAGCCAGGCCCATCCCCCGGTGCCCCCAGCACGCCGTGCCCCCACTGCACGATATTCCCACTCCACGACAGCCCCCAGCGCGGACCCCCCCGCCGCACGGTGTCCCCCCCCCCCTTTCCCGTCCCCGACGCACGAAATTCCAGCCACAACATTCTCTCTGCGCGTTACCCCCGGTGCGCGGTGCCCCTCCCGTGTGCGCGGTACCCCCGGTGCCCGCCGCCCCCCCCCGCTTCCCCACCATGGCCGCCGCCGCCCCGCATCGCCCCCGCCCCGCTCCGCTACCTTCGGCGGCCGCAGCCGCAGCGGCCCCGCAGCAACGGCGGCACCGGGAGCGGCGGCGGAGGGCGGCGGGCGCGGGGCCAGGAGGCGGCAGCGCTCCGCCAGCGCCTGGCAGCCACGGGCACGCGGGGACGCGGGGACGCGCGGCGGGGACGCGCGGCGGGGGGGATGCGGGCGCACGCTGAGACCTCGGCCGGGGGCTCCCACGCGAGAGGCGGCCACGCGTGCGCTCCGGTGGTCTCGGGCACGGCATCGCTTCCCTCCCTCTCGAGGATCTCCCGTGGGACCGGCAGAGCGGGGAGAGCCGCGGAGCTCGGCGGTTCTGGTGCCGGTCCTTCGTGGGTAACGGCGTGGGGGTGTGGGGTTGGGATATGGAGAGGGGTGTGAAAATGGAGCGGGGACGTGGCGTGGGGACGTGATGCTGGGATGAGATTTGGGAACATGGAGATGGGGCGGGATGTGGGGGCACGGAGATGGTGTGTGGGGACGTGGAGATGGGGTACATGGGGTGGTGGAGCTGGGACGAGGCACGGGGACATGGAGCTGGAACATGGCATGGGGATGTTGAGCTGGGACATGGCATGAGGACACAGAGCTGGGGTGTGACACGGGGACATGAAGCTGGGGACAGGAACATGGGTAATGTTGAGCTCAGATATGGCATGAGAATGTGGAACCAGGAGATGTGAGCTGGGACAGGAGCACGGCAGGGGGACGTAGAGCTGGGCTGTGACATGGGGACGTGGAGCAGCTGAAACAGGAATATGGCAGGGGGACGTGAGGTTGGGACAGGAATGTGGGTGGTGTTGTGCTCAGATATGGCATGAGGATGTGGAACAGGACGTGGCATGGCAACATGGAGCTGGGATGCAACATGGGGACATGAAGCTGGGACATGGCATGGAGATGTTGAGCTGGGACATGGCATGAGGACATGGAGCTGGGACAGGAACATGGCAGGGGGAGATGGAGATGGGACGTGTATGGGGGCATAGAGCAGGAACAGGGGCATGGCAATGGGACCTGAAGCCAGAGCAGGGATCTGGACATGAGACATGGCATGGGGACACAGACGTGAGATGGGACCATGGCATGGGGAGCTAGAGCCAGGTCAGGGAGCAGGACTGCCTGGGGGGGGGGGGGGCGGCATAGGGGGACCATGCTCCACACTATAAAGGGGCCAGGACTCCCTACTGCCTCTAGGAGGACACATCCCCTCTGCACACACACGTACATGCGTGCACACATGCATGTGCAAACGCGTGCACCTACAGCTTCATGCACACACGTGCACGCACACACACACACACGCATACACGTACATGCGCAGCCACAGATGCACGCACACATACGTGCACACATACATGCACATTCCTGCACACACACACACACACGTGCTCACACACACACCGCCTGCAGGACCCCCCACCCACCCCCACCCCCCCCAGCAGGGACCACCCGCACACATTTGCTCTTTGCACGCCGCCGGCACGCAGACCACACGCACATTATTTGCAAACAGCAGCCGGAAGCACAAGCAGAGCAGCACAAACATTCGGATGCACGCAGCCCAGGGTAGCGCACACACACACACACACACACAAACACACACACACACACAAACACACACACAAACACAAACACACACACAAACACACACACACACACACACAAACACACACACAAACACACACACCGCCACCGCCGAGTGCACGTGTGACACCCCGAGGTGCCATCCCTGCTGGATGGATGGGCACGGGGAGCTGTGTGTGGGGACATGGGGACAGGCACAAATGCACACACAAAACAGCAGACGTGCAGAAACACGAGCACATGTGCACATATATGCATACATACGTGTGTGCACCCCACACTGAGAACCACGAAGCTGTTTCCACCTAGGGACACCCCCACTCACACTGTATGGGGTTGAGGGCCTCCTCCTGCCCCACAGCTGCCCCCACTGCTCCAACACCCTTAAAACCACCACTGCCCAACCCATGACAGCCCCTAATCTGTGACACCCCCAATGCGTGACACCTCTCCGATCCATGTCCCCCATATCCACAGCTCCCCATCTATGCCCCCATATCCATGTCCTCCCATCCATATCCCTCATATCCATGTCCCCAGTATGCGTCCCCCATACACATATACCCCATACCCATGCTCCCATATCCGTGTCCCCCAAATCCACACTCCCATATCCATGTCCCCTGGTCATATCCTCCCACCCATGCCTCCATATCCGTGTTTCCATATCTGTGTCTCTCCATAACCATGTCCCAATAGGTGTCCACCCATCCATATCCCCCATATCCATGTCCCCCCCACCCATGCCTCTGTATCCCCATATCCTTGTCCTTCCATATCCATGTCCCCCATATTGATGCACCCCAGATCCATGCTCCTATATCCACATCCCCCTTATCCATGTCCCCCTCCATATCCCCTCATCCATGTCCCTCATACCCATGCTCCCATATCCATGTTCCCTCATCCATATGTCCCCAGTCCATGTCCCCACATCCACGTCCCCATCCTTGTCTCCATATCCATGTCCCCCACATCCACATTCCCCCATCTCTATCCCCCATATCCATGCTCCCATACCCATGTCCCCATCCATATTCCCCATATCCATGTCCCCAGTATGTGCCCCCATAACCATGTGCCCCATACCCACGCTCTCATATCCATGGCCCCTTTATCTACGTCCCCCCCAGCCATATCCCCCCACTCCCATTCCCATTCTGCCCCCCGACCCCCCAGGAGCCGCCCCCCACATCGCTCCCCCTCCGCTTCCGAGGCGGAAGGCAGCGGGGTGTGTGTGCGTGTTGGGGAGGGGTGGGGGGGTCCCTTCCTCCTCCCCCTCCATCCTCCATCCCTTCCCCTTCGCTCCTCCCCGCGCACGGAGCGCGGCCCCCGGTGCCCCGTCGAGCCGAGCGGAGCCGAGCGGAGCGGAACGAAGCATGGAGGGCCTCTCCCGGGGGGGGCACCGCTGCCCGCCCCTGCCTCTGGCGATGGGGTTGTGCTGCTGCCTGCTGCTGCCGCCCGCTGCCGGCTCCTGGAGCGTGCAGCCCCGCAGGTACCGGCGCCGGGGGGAGGGGGGCACCGGCAGGGCAGCAAGCACGGGGGCCGATGGGGAGATGGGGACGCCGGGCTTGGGGCGAAGGGTTACAGGGAATGGGGTGCTGTGGGGAGCGCGGATGGGGAGCACTGTGTGCTGGGGGAGTCTTGGTGCCGGGCACTGGGGTACCGGCACAGGAGGGCAGCGAGCACTGGGTGCTGGTGGTACCGGCAGCAATGGGGATTGGGGATCAGGCATTTTGGGTGCCAGCACCGGAGGAGAGTGGGGAGGAGGAGTGCTATGGGGGTCTGAGTGCCAGACACGGGGATGTAGCACCAGGGGGCTCTGGGTGTCAGGGGGAATGGGCATTGCATGGGACCAGATGCTGGACACCGGGGGGTGCCAACAGTGGGGGGATGCAGGAACACTGGGGACGCCGGGGAGGGGCTGCTTGGTTCAGAATGGGGCTCTGGGTTTGCCGGGAATGGAAAGGCTGTGGGGTGCCGGAGGGTCTCCAGGGCTGGCAGGGCTCAGCGAGGCTGGCATCGCTGCTGGGGTGAGCAGCCACCTGGGTGCAAAGGTGCCGTAGCATTCTGGAACAGCTGGGGGTTATTGGGGTCACTGGGGGTCCTCGTGGCTGGGGGCTGCCTGGCCCCATCCCCATGGCTCTGCCTGTGCCCAGGAAGCAGCGGGGACAATGGAACCCAGTGCCTGGCTGCTGGGGGCTGCAGTCCCTGTCTGTCCCTACGGTCCCTGTCCTGCTGGGGGTTGTTTACAGGAAATCTTTGGCGCTGGCGGTGTCTCCAGCACCGGATTGCCGGGACCTCCCGGTTCCGCTCAGCTCGGCACAGTGACGGGCAGAAGCTGCCTCATTTCCCCTTCCCCTCCTGGCCTAGCTCAGGCAGACCCCGTTGCCTGACCCGAGACCCACCCATGGGTCCCACACACCCAGAGAGGGGCACGAAGCTGGGGGAAGGTACCAGGCCCAGAGCAGAGCCCGGGCACGCTCAGTGCACGAATGGCCCCGCAGCGGGTGGGCTGGGTGAGCCGAGGCCGTGCGAGCACCCACACGCCTCACTGCTGGCTCTTGCCCTGAGCTGGGGGGGGGTTCCCTTATTGCTGGCACCAGCCCCAACTTCCCTGCCAGCCAGAACGGGCTGGGGCGCATCCTCATCCCTATGGCACCTCCGGGGTTGGCATCATCCCCAACCCATGCCAGCACTGGGAGCGGGAGACACCCTTGGGAGGCGCAGTGCTGGGGGCAGTCGGGCCCCCCCAGCCATCCCCATCACTCCGCCTGGTGGTGTTTGTCACCCCGGAGGTGTCACCATGCAGTGGTTTTGTCAGAGAGCTCAGTGTGCAGCTGGGATGCTGCCCAGCCACAAAGCCCTGTGCCGCCCCGCTGCGTCCCCCCAGCACATCCCACACAATTGTTCCCCTCCCTGCCACCAGCCGCAGCCACCTCCTTCCCCGCAGGCACAAAAAGCTCCTCTTTCCACCCAAATCGTGGCTGCGCAGGCGAGGAGGATGGCACACATCTCCACGGGGGCTTGGGTCTGCCCTATTGGTCAGCAGGGAGGCTTCGGCTCTCTGCTATTGGGCACTTGTGGAGCTCAGTTCTGTCCTATGGGACATTTGGGGACACTTTGGGGTCCCAGCTTTCTCCTTTGGGGCATCTAGAGGGCACTTGGAGGTCCTATCTCCTCCCCATGGGTCACTTGTCAGGCATTGGTGAGTCCCAGGATTCCACTACGGGGCACTTGGGGGGTTTGGTTCTGTCCTATGGGGCAACTAGGGGTCACTGCAGGACTTGGTTCGTTCCTATAGGTCCTATAGGAGGTCCCAGATCTCCCCTATGGGGCACTTGGGAACCAATTTCCCCCGGTGGCATGGATGGCATTCATACCCCCAGACACAGCCTGCATGGGGACAACAGGGCCGGTGGTGGGCAGCGGCCATGGTGGAGCCCATGTGGGGACACCATGCTGGGGGACATCCATCTAAAAGCTGGGGTGGCATCTCCACGAGGAGGGGTGAGGACGGGTACCACCCTGGGGACATCAAAGGACAAGTCTCCCACCGGGTCCCGGTGTAACACAGGGTGTTCTGGGGATGCAGAGTGGGACCCCCGCGGTGGCACCGGTGGCTTCTCTTACAGTAATTGGTGCTCCTACACGGTGACGAGGACGGTGACGTGCCTGGTGCAGAATGGCACCTCCCTGCAGCGTGTCTTCCAGGGCTGCCGCTGGCCGCCGGGCTGCGGAGGGGGCAGGTGAGACCCCAGTGGGCACCAGGAGCTGCAGCCATGGGGTGGTGGCACGGGGGTGACATCGGTGCCCAATCTGTGCCAGCAGCTATCGCACCGTCATCCGGCCTGCGTATCGAGTGGCCTACAGGACGCTGACGGCGCTGGAGTGGAAGTGCTGCCCTGGGCACAGTGGGGCCAACTGTGAGGAAGGTGGGAGAGGAGTGGGATGGAGGGTGGGCTCTGCGTACCCTGGGCACCTCTGTACTCCGTCAGAGAGGGGCGGATGGAGCTATGGGGGGGTGGGGGGCGGAGGGACAGATAGATGGATTGATACATGGTTGGATGGATGAATGGATGGATGGAGGAACAGATGGAAGAGGAAGGGAGGGAGGGAGGGATGGATGGATGGATGGATGGATGGATGGATGGATGGATGGATGGATGGATAAAAGGATAGAGGGAGGGAGGGAGGGAGGGAGGGAAGGAGGGAGGGAGGGAGGGAGAGAGGGAGGGAGGGAGGGAGGGAGAGAGGGAGGGAGGGAGAGAGGAAGGGAGGGATAAAAGGATAGAGGGAGGGAGGAATAGTTGAATGGAAGGATAGAGGGATGGAGGGATGAATGGATGGGATGGATGGATTGATGCATGGTTGGATGGATGGATGGATGGAGGAACAGATGGAAGAGGGAGGGATGGATGGAGGGAGGGATGGAGGGATGGAAGGAGGGAGGGATGGAGGGATGAAGGAATGGATGGATGGATGGATGGATGGATGGATGGATGGATGGATGGATG